CTTTCCTAGGTGGCCACCGTTCGGCTACCGACCACGCGGCGGCCGGCCATCTTGGATCCTTTTTCTACCCAGCGGTGTTTGGGCGTTGAGCGTGTGGAACTGAAAACGGCTACTCGACGGCGCGAACACTGCTGGACTTCCAGGCCGTTCGGGAGCTCCGGTCTTTCACTATTAGGGTTCCCCCATCGGTGTTCGGTACTTTGGGGCGAACTCAATGGCAAAGTGTATTTCGTGCGGCGTTCGGTTGTTTTAGCTGGGAGCTGAGCGGTATTCTCACGAACTGTGCACTCAGACCCCAGCTATCTACCAAACGTCCATTTGTTTAAATCTACCAAGTATTGTTAAAGTTATAGATTTAAATGTAAAATGCCGGTTCTGCTGCACAGAGGGATAATCCACTTAATGGTACATTCCAGTTGGAGTATCCCTCTCCTGCAGCAGTGCTTGATGGGAGAAAAGGTCAGAATGTTAAGTCTCCCATGTAGTCCCCTATTGTAATACCCCTGTGATGTGACTCAGAACCCCTTGCATGGGGACTTGCATAAATACTGGATGCTGTGAATAAAAACCTCAGTTGATTCCCAGAACTGTGTTTCGTCCGGTTACTGGGGGATTTGGGACATTGCCTTACTTTCCAGCGCTTTACTTTGTATTACTTTCTTAACCAGCGGAGAAATTGGGATTTCATATTGCAGCTCCGCTACACCCACTGACCCCCCCTCCAGCAGAAGAGCTGGCATCAGGGCAGAACACCGCTGGCTTCTGCCCTACTTGTCCTCTTGTTACAGGGCAGGACTATCCACCAGTCCTCCCAGTGGAAGCGCTGGCACCAGGGCAGAGCACAGTTGGCCTCTGCCCTCCCCTTGTCCTTAAACCAGGACCTGATGACCCACTCAACTACCCAGCTGTAACACTGGCTGCGGTCTCTGCCCACCGGGTAACCCCAACTCCAAGCCGGAGAGCAACCGAGAGACCGGGATTTCCAGATGCCCACTTAACCGTTGGGGACATACAGGACAGAGACAGGCTACAGAAGTCTCCAGGTCTAGTACTTGCTTATGGGTGGGTTACTCGACTAACTCAGGTACCGACCGACAGGAGGTCAGGTACCTGGTTAGTCTTACCTTGGGGAGGAAGATATATGGCGAACCGAACCTCGCCACAGGCTTTTGGAGAAGCCAGCTTGCCAGCCTCCTGCCCCAGGACTATGGCCCCTGCAATAGACCTGGCTAAAATACTTAAAAGACTCTGTTCATGCAATTGGGATTATATGGTTTGGTTACCGAAAAACCGCATGAACCTGAGACCACCCTGGAGCTTGTTAAGCCTAATTGATACTTTGTAACATTTCCACTGCAGTGTTCTAAGTGTCCGTCTGGGTGGCCGCAATTCATATGGACAACCAAGCGGTGGCGGCCATCTTGTTCACATGAAAACAGGCAGCGGTGTTTGGTCATCGTGTTCATGGAACTATTTTCAGACACCGAAACTCCCAAACACGGCTGGACTTCCATTATCGCCTGTGTTTTTTTTATAAATATTGAAGACACTGTTCAGTGGAATTGTTCTTCTGAATAAGGTGAACAAACTCCAGGGTAGAATTATGGATTCTGTTCGGTAGTTTGTTCACTTTTTAAACTACTGATCTAGACTGATTCTATGAAACTGTTTTGTGCATGGGACCATGCGTGCGGTTGGTCAAATAAATAACCAGGAAATGTAACTTTTGTGGGGGTTTTGAGTGTTTAAATGTATTTTGGGGGTTTTATAAAAATGTGTTTTTTGTGTCTGGAGATAATTGAGTTTAGTTCAGTTCATGACTCGATTATCTTTCAGGCACAGGGTAGGGATTGTCTTATTATGTGTGGGAGTGTCCTGGATCTGAGAGCCAATGTAATTATGTATTTTTTTCTACTGTGGTTTACTCTCAGGTCCAGGGGGGAGTGCCCCTTGCTCCAGACAAGCTGTAATGCTGGATGCGGGGACTGAAGTGCTGATAGTGGAGTGCTTTGAATACTTGGTGAGCACTAGGAGCATCGATTGGCAGAGGCACCCGGTCGGGGTGCCATGTTGGCCACCACATATATGTTATCTGCTATAGCTAATTAAAACCATTTTGATATTTTCATCTGTAAATGTATCCTGGACTTGGGGCATTCAAAGTTCCTTCTAGCACTTTCACTCCCCTCTACACACACAGTCACTTTGTTTTGAATTTAGTCACATATCACTGTTTGTTTTTTGCTAACTTTCTCACAGCTAGTATACACCTCCCTGCCCCCTGTATGTTTACCTCTATGTTCGGGAAGTTCCGTACAGTTCATTTAGGACTGTTCATTATTACACTTACTATTACACTGTGGTTGCCTGGTTACCATGTTGTTAACCCAGGGCTGGCGCCACCGTTAGGTGAACTAGGTATTCGCCTAGGGCGCTGGCCTGCTGGGGGTGCCCACTGGGATGTTTCCTGGTGGGCTCCCCCGTCTGGGGTCGCAGTGCTGTAAGAGCGGCTATTGAGCCGCCCCCAGCGCCGGGCCACTCCTCAAGGCGCCGGAAGGTGGGGGCGCCGAGAGAGCCCTATTACAGGGGGGCCAGTAGGTGGCCTTCTGGCCACCTCAGAGCACCCCCTATGCAGAGCAGGCACTCGCTTACCTTGATGGCAGGTGCCTGCTCTGCCACTAAATGCCAGTGAGAGGAGGAGAGCAGATGGAGCTGGCAGGAGGCGAGGGAGGCTGTTCTAGCAGCCTCTCCCTCCTCCCTCAAGCGCCTTCTGTGATGCTGGGAGCTGGAATATGACATCATTCCGGCCCCGGCATACTAAACGGCGCGCTGGAGGAGTGAGGAGCTGCCTCACACTGGACCCCAGGGAGGTGAGTGTTTGATTGTCAGTGAGTGTATGTATGTCAGTGAGTGTGTGTATGTCAGTGAGTGCATGTATATCAGTGAGTGTGTGTATGTATGTCAATGAGTGTGTGTATGTATGTCAGTGAGTGTGTGTATCTGTCTGTCTGTCAGTGAGTGTGTGTTTGTCAGTGAGTGTATGTGTCTGTCTATCTGTCAGTGAGTGAGTGCACATATGTCAATGAGTGAGTGTATGTATGTCAGTGAGTGTGTCTGTCTGTATGTCAGTTAGTGAGTGAGTGTATGTATATCAGTGAGTGTCTGTGTGTGTATGTGTCTGTCAGTGAGTGAGTGTGTCTGTCAGTGAGTGAGTGAATGTATGTCTGTCAGTGAGTGAGTGTATGTCCGAGCTGCATGGCTGGGTTGCCAGAAAGAAGTAAGACGAATGCAGCATGTTATAAAAAAATACTGTCCGACAATTTGCTTTCTTCTGCACTAAGGCTGCGCTTGGATGCTCTTGGACTTTCCAGCATGACAATGACTCTAAGTAAAAGGCCAAGTTGACCCTCTGACACCCTAGTACCAAAACTAAATTGGTGTCCTTGGGTATTATTTTGGATTCAGTACTTTTGAAGGCTAGACTTCCAGATGAGAAAATGCTGCGCATCAGGGACTTGGGAAGGTTTATTGAATTAGGGTGATGTATTCGGAAGGATCTTCAGCCCTAGTTGGGATCTCTCAACTTTGCTCTGTGAATTATCCAACAAGGAAGATCTTTTATTTCAAGGCATTCCCTCCTACCTGGGCTGTCTGACAATGATACTTTAGTGAGGAATTCCCCTGCCCGGGCCGATTTAGTAATGTGGAAACAGTTTCTTAAAAATTGGAACAGTATTTCTATGTTCATCCCTCCACTTTCTGACTAGTCCTCAATGCTTTGGACTGACACAGCAGGCCATTCTGGCTTTGTTTCCATTTTGGGTGATCAATGGTTTAGGGATGAATGGCTGAGAGAGGCAGTTAACCTTTCTTCATTTCAGGAGACTTCAGCCCGGTTTAGCAGTAGCCCACACATGGGGTAATCTATGGCTTGTAAAGCAGTCAAGTGTTTTTTTGATAATATGATGGCATGTGAGATAGTCAATAAAGGTCAATCCTCCTTTTTGACTATTATGAGGTTGATTCATCGATTGGCCTGGCTTGCCGCCTGTGACAGTAGTCACCATCACCTGGACCTTCAGACAGACTATTTATGTGGGTTGTTGGACTTTTCTTATGTTTTAGTCACCCTGTACCCATTATGTGTGTGGGTGTATACTGTTAAATGTTTTGCCTGCTCTGCTGCTGAGGATTGCTATGCTGCTGAGGCTATGGAGCCTGTGTAGTGCCCTCTGTTGTTAGCAACAGCAATATGCACTTCCTTAAAAAACAAATTAATGACTGGGTAATTTGTATATTCAGATAGATTTGCATATTGCTATTTCTGCAGACAGGAGAGATGTTTTATGTTAATTATTGTCTTTCCCACACCTTTATAAATATGCCATTATGTTATTATAAGTTCCTATATGTTTTGTAATGTGATTTGACTGTTTGTATTTTTATTGAGTCGTCACAGCAATCTTGATGTAATAATCATATGGGCTAGTCCCAAGAAAAATAAAGTTTTGTATGTCAGTTGCTTTTGGAACCTGTGTCCTGTGTGGATTTGTAGGGATCCCAGTGACAGTGTCTTCGGACCTATTTGCTGGTTGCAGAATCCCTTTAGCTCTGGTTAAAAGCAAGAGAGCTAGGCCGGAGAGCCGCAATTGCCTTTGTAAAGGCAATAACTATAATCACTGTAAGCAGAGGTGCAGCAGAATAGGCGGAATAGCCTGGAAGAAAGGCTGAATCTTAATAGGCAGAGGGGCGGGAATGATGTCATATTCCGGATACCTGCCTGAAAGGAGAGCTTTGACCACTAGAAGCGTGTTTGCGGAAATACCCAGTCGGGGTACCAATCGGTCTGCCACACCACCACGTTTCAATTCCACCTGATTTGTGAGCACATCCCATGTTGCAATAATTCAGCTGCTGACCCACCTGGAATTTGTGCTTCATGTTGTTCATAATTCACCTCCTTCATATTAAATGCACCAGCACTTATTATATATCATTTTTGTAATGGAGCTCCCTGTACTCTGACCGAGTACCCTCTGTTGATGGATGCTCCTAGCGCTTCCTGAGGACTCCAAACACTGCAGCCGACACCACAACCACCGCAGACTCCACAACCGCCATAGCTTAACTGGAGTCTCGCCGTCTTCCTTCCACCCTGGATCAGCTTCTGTCCTCCAGGACCGTGTGGGGAAGACCTCTCCTCCAGGAGAGCGTAACAGGAACAGCTCTTAAAAGAGCTAAGTGATTAAAAGCTCAGGGGAGTATGCAGAGCATAGCAATCCCCAGTGTGATATAGCAGTTCCCTCCAATAACGAGACAAGGCTACGTATAGAGGGATCAAGAAGAACTGTCAAAACCTTTATTTCCCTTGGGACCAGCCAATAGGGTCACCACAATAACATTGTTGTGAAACCTCAATAAAATCACAAACAGTCAAACCATATCAAGCAACACACAGTGACTTATCACAACACAATGGCACATTTTTAAAGGGGTGCGGGGAGACAATATTTAACAGTAAATATCTCACCTGCCTGCAGAATTAGCAATATGCAAATCTACCCGAATATGCAAATGAACCAGTCTTGCAATTCAGGTAGTGCATATTGCTGTTGCTACCAACAGAGGGCACTAGACCAGCTCCATAGCCAAACCCACCTAGTTGGTAGCAAACCTCAGCAGTACAGGAGAGCAGGCAATACATTTCACAGTACACACACACACACACTATAAACAATTACATTACACACACCCTGCACCTATAATGGGTACAGGGTGACTAAAACATAAGATAAATAAAGCAGCCTACATAAATAGTCTGTCTGAAGGTAGACTAGGGGCTTTAAAGCCAGATACATGAAAGAGTCATAGTCACAGGGGAGGAGACTGGCAAGTAGGCCTCTCCAGGACCAAGTGGCGAAGGACACTTCGTCACAATTTTGTTCAGGAGAAACAGGGCTTTCATTTCACATGAAATATTTCTATATTAAAATAAAATGCGAGAAATTAAGAAATGGTTAAAAAAAATTGGTTCTGCATAGCATTTTAACAGTGAATGTTATAATAATGTTAGCTGTTACTGCAATAGAGTACACATATTTGTATTCAGCAATGTCTACTGAGTACAAAAGTAACCCCCATGTACAGGTTTTATGGTGTTTTGGGAAAGTTAGAGGGTCAAATATAGCACATTAAACTTTTTCAGTTTATACACATTGAAATATGCTAGACTGGTCTCAAAGGCAACGTATACTCTGCCATTTTAGCGGCGTGTCTAAAAAATATTTGTCCAATATTAATACAACAGGAACAGGCTGGATTTGTTAGAGAGAGGCAGTCAAATGATAATACCAGGAAAATCATTGGTCTAATAGAATATGTGTGCTATAATAAAATACCATCTATATTTATCTCCTTAGATGCCGAAAAGGATTAAGATAGGGGACATGGAAAGCAAACTTAGTATGCATGCTGATGATATCTTGCTATCTCTTTAATGATCCTGAGAAATCTCTGACTTCATTGCTATATGAAATCCAAGAATATGGCCTTGTTTCCAATTATAAAATAAATATGAATAAATTTCAAATATTAGATTTCTCAATATCAGATATGGAAAGAAACAGAATGGAGGCAAATTTAGATTTTTAGTGGGGAATTGATGAGAACACCTATTTGTGGATTAAGATCCCAAGGAATATACAAACAATATTTGAAGTTAATTATTCAGCCCTTTTTGATTAAATGAAAAGACAACTGTATGAGTGGAAAGGACTGTTCATTTCATGGATGGGAAGGATAAATGTAATTGAATCATATATAATTCCAAAATGGCTGTATTTACTTAGGATGATCCCATTAAAGTTGCTTCTGTGCTGGATTAAGACATTTCAGACTAAGGTTAATGGATTCATATGGGATGACAAGAAACCTAGAGCGTGAAAAAAAATTTCTTTGCTCCAGTTGTAGAAAAGGGGGACTACGCTTAGGACGGTATGCAGAGGCGAGTATGTTATGTCACTCATCTAAGCTTCAACGTAAACAAAGTAAAGATACAAATTGGTACTATATACACCCTGTTCCAAATAATTATGCAAATTATATTTTTCTAATTTACCTAAATAATTTATGTAAATAACATTCAGCATAATTCTCATGTTATCAACTATTAAGAGTACAATTCAAATTTTATTGAACAAACCTCCTAATGATAACAGTATTTTGTTTAAACATAAAAAACTTACAATGCACTGTTCCAAATTATTACGCACAGTAAGTTTCAAAACACTTTATAGGTTATAAAGAACTGAAAATTGTCATTGTTGTGTGTTTGCAGCATATTTACTGAAATCAAAAGCTATTTTAATCAAACTTATAACAACATTTTAACTTTTTAAACATTTTAACAGGTCACTTTACATTTTAACATAGGACCCCTTATTTGATAGCAGCTTCACAAGTCTTGCATCCATTGAACTTGTGAGTTTTTGGACAGTTTCTGCTTGAATTTGTTTGCAAGATTTTAGAATAGCCTCCCACAGCTGCTGTTTGGATGTAAACTGCCTCCCACCCTCATAGTTCTTTTTCTTGAGGATGCTCCATAGGTTCTCAATAGGATGAAGGCCACACCATGACTTTCTCTCCTTTTATCCCCATAGCAGCCATTGATGTAGAGGTATTCTTTGCAGCATGAGATGGTGCATTGTCATGCATGAAGATGATTTTATTACGGAAAGCATAGTTCTTCCTTCTCTACCAGGGAAAAAAGTGGTCAGTCAAAAACAACACATACTTTGCAGAGTTCATCTTTACACCTTCGGGGACCCTAAAGGGGCCGACCAGCTCTCTTCCCATGATTCCGGCCCTTCCCACCACCACCTTGCTGACGTCGCATCCTTGTTGTAACAGGGTGGCTGTTGTCACGGTAGTTTACCCCTATTTAGTTCAACAATCGACAGAGCAGACACAACTTACCGGACCTTAGAATGGCCGGACTCGCCGTATAGCAGAGAATAGACAGAGTCAAGAACAAGCCGAGGTCAAGGGAACAAAGAGACTGCGAGAACAAAAACTAGCCAAGGTCTGGTACACAGTAGTCAGTAAGCCGGCAAACAAGACAAAACAGGGATAGAGAGATAAACGGAGTCAGATACAAAGCCAAGGTCAAGCCCGAAAATCACAACTGAACACAACAAGCGCTAAAGGGAACTGAAACAGAAACCACGATAGGGCAGGGAGTAAAGGGAGAGGTAAGTATAAATACCCTAAACTTTACTTTGATTGGCCCCTGTCATATCCACGCCCCAAAATGTGAGTGGGAATGTGGAATGACAGGGGCCAATGGGAGCACATTTCATCTTTTGGCTCCCACTGGCCCTTTAAGAGCGCGTCTCGGGCACTATGTAATGGTATTTTAGCAGCTGCTCTCTTGATCCGATACATGGATCTGGCAGAAATCTTCCTCAATGTGCCTTTATCTGCACGAACCCGTCTGTGCTCTGAATCACCCACAAATCTCTTAATAGTGCGATGATCTCGCTTAAGTTTTCGTGAAATATCTAATGTTTTCATATCTCGTCCAAGGCATTGAACTATTTCACTCTTTTCGGCAGCAGAAAGGTCCTTTTTCTTCCCCATATTGCGTGAAAATTGTGCCCTGCTTAATAATGTGGAACACCCTCCTTTAGTAGTTTTTCATTAAATTGGGCTCACCTGGCAATTCAATTATCACTGGTGTCCGAGATTGTTTTCAGTGATCAAAAGAGCCCTGAGACACAATGCCATCCATGAGTTAAACTGAAAAACAAAATATTTAATCTTTGTGACACTTAAATAGAATTTGCATAATAATTTGGAACAGGGTGTAGAACAAGAACTTGTAGGAATGGCTCATTTAGAATGTGTATTATGGATCCATCTTGAAAAATCAAATGTTTTAAATAAAAGTCAATGGTCAATGGTGACTAAGAATTGTATTGAATTTTGGATATTATTTAAAAACCGTATAGGCATGAAAGACAAAGTATTATCCTCTGCCCCTTTGGAAATTTTTAAGAACAACATTCCTCATTTAAAGTTTGGAAAATAGGTGAGTTTCACACCCTATAAAACAAGAGATTTTATGTCTAAGGACGGCATTAAAACCCCAATAAAGATACTTAATCAATATGCACTTAAAGAGTCGGAATATTTTAAATCACTCAGATTGTGACATTATTCATATATATAATAACAACAGAAATAAAATGGCCCACATCAAATATTTCTATATTAAAATAAAATGCGAGAAATTAAGAAATGGTTAAAAAAAATTGGTTCTGCATAGCATTTTAACTGTGAATGTTATAATAATGTTAGCTGTTACTGCAATAGAGTACACATATTTGTATTCAGCAATGTCTACTGAGTACAAAAGTAACCCCCATGTACAGGTTTTATGGTGTTTTGGGAAAGTTAGAGGGTCAAATATAGCACATTAAACTTTTTCAGTTTATACACATTGAAATATGCTAGACTGGTCTCAAAGGCAACGTATACTCTGCCATTTTAGCGGCGTGTCTAAAAAATATTTGTCCATTATTAATATAACAGGAACAGGCTGGATTTGTTAGAGAGAGGCAGTCAAATGATAATACCAGGAAAATCATTGGTCTAATAGAATATGTGTGCTATAATAAAATACCAAATGTATTTATCTCCTTAGATGCCGAAAAGGATTAAGATAGGGGACATGGAAAGCAAACTTAGTATGTATGCTGATGATATCTTGCTATCTCTTTAATGATCCTGAGAAATCTCTGACTTCATTGCTATATGAAATCCAAGAATATGGCCTTGTTTCCAATTATAAAATAAATATGAATAAATTTCAAATATTAGATTTCTCAATATCAGATATGGAAAGAAACAGAATGGAGGCAAATTTAGATTTTTAGTGGGGAATTGATGAGAACACCTATTTGTGGATTAAGATCCCAAGGAATATACAAACAATATTTGAAGTTAATTATTCAGCCCATTTTGATTAAATGAAAAGACAACTGTATGAGTGGAAAGGACTGTTCATTTCATGGATGGGAAGGATAAATGTAATTGAATCATATATAATTTACTTAGGATGATCCCATTAAAGTTGCTTCTGTGCTGGATTAAGACATTTCAGACTAAGGTTAATGGATTCATATGGGATGACAAGAAACCTAGAGCGTGAAAAAAAATTT